AGCTCGTCCTCCTGCCGCTTGGCCTCACCAAGGGCAGCACTGAGAACCTTGTTCTCCTCCCTCAGGATCTTATTCGCGTCTTTCCAGGGTTGAAGTCGGCTCCTCATCTTGGCCAAATCCTCTTGCTGCTTGGGTTGGCCCACGTGACCGATACGGTCTCTCCGGTACAGAAGCGATGTAACCATTACACATGCATTTATTTGTTTGGATAAAAAAAGGAGAAATGAATGAATTATAAACATAACTATTATTATAGACTACCATCCTTTCAAATAATTTATGCTTAAAATTGAAAGAAAATGATGTTAAGGGCATTGTATGTATATTTTAACACAAACATATTTTCGTTAATGTTCTCGTCACTCAGGAGCTGGAAACATTTAGAGGTGGGACTCACAATTTTTCTTCATTTCATTTCTTTTCAAGTTGCAACCAAATTAATAAATAAATGATTATACAATTTTTTTCATCCTTTTCTATAAAACCAAAGTGTTAGATTCATGAAGAGAAGTTGTGGAATTAACGAAAAAGTTATACATTTTAATTGTATTGAAAGCCATAAAGTCACATAGGGAAAAAGAACGAACGGACAAAATGATTTTGAAAATAAATGCCCTCACGCAGGATCGAACTACGGACCTTCAGTTTACAAGACTGACGCTCTACCACTGAGCTATAAGGGCTGGATTATATTGTATCCCTAATATATTTAAATTTAATTATTTAAAAACTTAATACAATCTTCAAAAGACTTTGAAAAGTGGAACAAACTTCTGGTAAATGAATTCACTCCAAGAGACGACTTTACAATTGAAAGCATTTTTGTTTGAAAGTAGCAACCTCAACCACGCCTAAAAGTACTCATGCACAAGTTTGGATTATATTCAGTAACAAACATGAGCTAAAATTACATACACGCTTTTAAAATTTTATTTGAAATATTAATAATTGTACCGGAGAGACCGTATCGGTCACGTGGGCCAACACGTGCCATTTCGTCAGACACCCATGCATAGCCACGTACAAGCATCACCATCGACGTCGGCTCGACATGAGGCCGAGAACCGACATCAGTCCGGTTAATGCAAATATGGACCACCATCATTCATCGTGTCGGCTCGGTCAGGTACCGTTCCGACATAGAACATACCGGAAGTATACAGGCTGCCGTATACGGACTAGACGGTTCGGTCATTTGCCGTTCCGA